GAGCCCTCCAAGACGTCCGCCAAGAAGGCCCGAAAGGGTCAAAATGGCCTCCAGACCGCCAAGATGACCTTCAAGATGCCCACGTGTTCCTCGAAGGCTTTCCAAACCGATTCGGGGAACACATGGTCCGATAGCTTGGCAGGTCTGGCCTCAACGTTCGGCCACATAGGCACGTCCAAAAAGACAGGGGGCGGCGGTGAATCGCCGTAGGCGTCTTCGATCCGCCGCCCCCTGTTGGCTTGTCACAGGAGTGCCCAGCGTGCTGGATCCTTTCCATATTGGTTTTGGTTATTTTCCCAAAAAACTCCCTCTGGGGCTCCGGCGCGTCCCGCTGGCCACCCGGAAAGGAACTCAATCCGGAAAAAATCCTCCAAGACAGCTCAAGATGGCGTCCAAGATGACCACATTGGCCCAAGATGGCCTCCAAGATGGTCCAAGATGGCCTCCAAGTCCGCCCAAGATGGTCCAAGACGGCCTCATGACGGCCCAAGAGAGTCCAAGATAACTCAAAGTTCGCCCAAGAAGCCTCCAAGACGGCCCAATACGACCCAAGAGGCCTCCAAGAGGTCCTCCAGGAGGGTCCGAAGAGGCTAAAATCATTGATTTGCTTCAGGTGTCTGAAAGATGTTGGCATTTGCTTCTTCTCGGCATTCCGACGGATCAAGTCGGCCCAAGAGGCCCCCAAGATCGCCCCAAGGTCGCCCACGAGGCCTCTAAGAGGGTCCCTTGATGGCACTCTTGGGCCCCAAGAGGCCTCCAAGACGACCACGATAGCCTCCGAGATTCTGAGATGACCCCGAGATGCCCCCAAGACAGCCCAAGATGCATCCAAGACGGCCTAAGATGATATCAATATTGCCCAGGACGGCTGAATAGGCCCACAAGAAGCCTCCAAGATGGCCAAGAGGCCTCCAAGAGGTCCTCCCTGAGGGCCCGAAGAGACCAAAATCATAGATGCCCCTAAAGTTGTTGAAGGATTTTGGCATTCCGATGGCTCAAGTTTTGTTTCTTCTCGGCATTCCGACGGCTCAAGACGGCCCAAGAGGCCCCCAAAGTCGCCCACGAGGCCTCCAAGACGGCCCCTATGACGGCCCCAGAGGCCCCAAGACTGCCCCAAGAGGGCCCAAGAGGCCTCGAAGACTGCCAAAATTTCCTCCAAGACGGCTAAGATGGCCCCAAAATGCCTCCAAGACGGCCCAAGATGCACCCAAGACGGCCTAAGATGGCCTCAAGATGGCCCAAGACGGCCCAAGAGGCCCCCAAGAGGCGTCCAAGACGGCCCAAAAGGCGTCCAGGAGGTCTTCCAGGAGGGCACGAAGAGGCCAAAATCACTGATGTTCCTAAGGTTTCTCGGCATTCCGACGGCTCAAGACGGCCCAAGAGGCCCCCAAGATCGCCCAAGAGGCCTCCAAGATGGCCCCATGACGGCCCGAGACGGCCCCAAGAGGGCCCCAAGACGGCCCAAGAGGCCTCCAAGACGCCCAAGATAGCCTCTAAGAACCCCTGATATTCCCCAAGAGGGCCCCAAGACGACCCAGACAGGCCTCCAAGACGGCTTCCGACGGCGTCAGACAAGCCAGGAACGCCCTAAGACGGCCAAGGAGGCCCCCAAGAAGCCCCCAAAGGCCCCCAAAAACCCTCCAAGAGGCCCTCAGAAAGCTCCCAGGAGGCCCCAAGAGTGCCCCAAGAGGCGTCCAAGAGACCTCCTCCTCCTCCGCCTCCTCCTCCTCCTCCTCCTCCGCCTCCTCCTCCTCCTCCTCCTCCTCCGCCTCCTCCTCCTCCTCCTCCGCCTCCTCCTCCTCCTCCTCCGCCTCCTCCTCCTCCTCCTCCTCCTCCTCCTCCTCCTCCTCCCTCCTCCTCCTCCTCCTCCTCCTCCTCCTCCTCCTCCTCCTCCTCCTCCTCCTCCTCCTCCTCCTCCTCCTCCTCCTCCTCCTCCTCCTCATTGCTCCTCATCCTCCCCCTCCTCCTCCTCTTCTTGCTCCCCCATGCGTTCCCCGAAGTCTTTCCAAACCGACTCGAGGAACAACTGGCCCGATAGCTTGGCCAAACTCTGGCCCAGCTGTCGGCCACAGAGGCGCTTCCAAAAAGACAGGGGGCGGCGGTGATTCGCCGCAGACGTCTTCGATCCGCCGCCCCCTGTTGGCTTATCACAGGGGTGCCCAGCGTGCTGGATCCTTTCGATTTTGGTTTGCTGGATCTGTTCCAAAAGAACTCCCCGGCGTGCCGGGTGCCTGGCGTGCTGGATCTTTTCCAAAAGAACTCCCCCTGGGGCTTCGGCCGATCTCGCCAGGGTCCCGGAAAGGCCCTGAAACCACCTCAAGACGGCTCAAGATGGCCTCTAAGATGGTCACGTTGGCTCAAGATGGCCTTCAAGATGGCCCAAGATGGCCTCCAATTCGCCAAAGCTGATCCAAGATGTCTTCCAAGACGGCCCGAGAGAGTCCAAGATGCCTTCAAGTTCGTCCGAGAAGCCTCCAAGATGGCCCAAGATGGCTCCAAGATGGCCCCGGACTGGCCAAGAGGCCCTCAAGAGGCCTCCAAGACGTCCTCCAGGAAGGCCCGAAAGGGCAAAAATCATTCATTTCCCTGAGGTGTTTGAAGGATTTTGGCATTTTCTTCTTATCAGCTCTCCGACAGCCCAAGACGGCCCAAGAGGCCCCCCAACATCGTCCCAAGAGCGCCCAAGAGGCTTCCAAGATGGCCCCATGACAGCCCAAGAGGCCCCCAAGAGGACCCCAAGAAGAGCCCAAGACGGCCCGAGATGTTCCTGAAGACGCCGAAGATGGCCTCCAAGATGCCTCCAAGATGGCCAAGAAGGCCTCCAAGACAGCGAAGATGGCCCCAAGATGCACCCAAGACGGCCCCAGATGGCCTCAAGATGGCCTTAGACTGCCCAAAAGGCCCGCAAGAGGCCTCCAAGACGGCCCAAGAGCTCTCCAAGGCGTCCTCCAGGAAGGCCCGAAAGGGTCAAAATGGCCTCCAGACGACCAAGATGACCTTCAGGGAACAAATGCCTATGACACAAAAGCGAGCCAATTTCGGACGAAAAGCTATGATCTTCGCAAAATGGTTCGAAAGACAAGTAAGGGCCTCAAAGTCCACGAAAGATCCCTCCAAGACGGCCCAGGATGGCCTGGAAGACTGCTTCAAGACGCCTTCAAGACGGCCAATATGGCCCAAGAGGGCCTCCAAGATGCGTCAAAGATGGCCAAGATGGCACCAAGAGGGCCCAAGATCACTCCAATTTGGCCTCCATAACGGTCCAAACAAAAAAAATGCCTCCAAGACCGCCAAGATGGCCCAATTGAGCCCCAGAGTGCCTCAAGAGGCTCCCAAGAGGACTCTTCCTCCCTTCCCCTTTTTCCTCACTCCTCTCCTCTTCCCCAACCTCCTCCACGTGTTCCCCGAAAGCTTTGCAAACCGATTCGGGGAGCACTCGTTCCGAAAGATTGGCAAGGATCTGACCCAACCTTCGGCCAGCAGGCCCCAAGACGCCTCCAAAAGCTCACAAGAGCCCCCAAGCGGCCCCGAACACGCCCATTCCTCACTCTCCTCTTCTTCCCCGTCCTCCCCCACGTGTTCCCCGAAGGCTTTCCAAACCGATTCGGGGAACACATGGTCCGACAGCTTGGCAGGGCTCTGGCCACAACGTTCGGCCAAATAGGCACTTCCGAAAGGGCAGGGGGCGGCGGTGACTCGCCGTAGGCGTCTTCGATAACGCCAACGTCTCAATATGCGCTGATGATTCCTATCCACCCCCGCATGATGTTCCCAGATGCGCCAAGGCAAGGCAGCGCCGAGACGCACCGACGCGACTCTGAGATACCCCATTATATGTGCGAGGGGACCGGCGGCAAGGAACGAAGCCCTTACGGATAGAATCATCAGCACCAGCACCAACAACAACAACAACAACAACAACAACAACATCATCACCACCACCATCACAATGCTCATACTTCTGCTCCTCCACCTCATCCTCCTCCTCCTCTTCCTCCTCACCATCATCAGCATCATCACCGTCAGCCTTATCATCATCATCCTCCTTATCCTCCTCATCATCAGCATCATCATAACATGGTTACCATCCATCCATCCATCCATCCATCCATCCAACCAGCCAGCCAGCCATCCAACCATTATTCCATCTATCCATCCTCCTCTTCCTCCTTCTCCTCCCCCTCCTCCTCCTCCTCCTCCTCCTCCTCCTCCTCCTCCTCCTCCTCCTCCTCCTCCTCCTCCCCCTCCTCTTCCTCCTCACTCATCCTTCGCTTCATCCTCCTCCTCTCTCCTCCACCCTCATCTCATTTCTCCTGATGGAGGTGGTGGAAGTGGATGGGGTCTGCAGCGGAACATCCACTGGCCGCGCCTCGAGGTCAGGCTCTGGGACCTTCTCTGCTGGGGTGCCAGCTGCCACCGCGCACCCATCGGCCATGGGCGCCTCCCGAAGCCTCCCAACACCGCCTGGTGGACAGCCCCTCTGACGCTTGGCCGAGGGGCAACGATACGGGCATCGAACGCTCCATCGATCACGACGCCAACATCGTCTGGCGGTATCATTAACGCACCCGCGAAGAGGTCAGAACCTTACTTATGTGTGCCCCAAGGCGGAGCTTCGCAAGGCACACGCCGTAACGGTCTGGACGGCCAACGAATACCAATCAAGTCAATTTCCAGTTCACTCAAAACGGTCCCTCTGAGTCCGCGGTCGGACGACAAGAAGGCGCAAGCGCGGCGGACGATATGAGGGGGACTGGCTCAGGGGGGGGGGGGGGGGGCAATGACCGGGAATCGACGATAGATCGCCGACAGATCAGGGACAACCCACCGATAGCAAAACCGCACGTACCTCCTGGGCGGGGTGGGGCAGACGGGTGCTCCTCCTACGGGTCCTCCTCCTCCTCCTCCTCCTCCTCCTCCTCCTCCTCCTCCTCCTCCCCCCCCGTTTCTCCAACAGCCGATCGACCCCAGGATTAACTGGCATCTGCTCAGGCTCGGGCCGGCGGGTAGCAGTCGGGGAAGGCGGTCAAAAAGCTCTCCTCGCCCTTCTTCGGGCTAACCGAAAGGGTCTTCTGCGGGTTCTCGAAGTTGTGGCCCACCTCACCCCGCCGACAGATCCGAGGGAGGTGTACACGGATGGAAGAGAAAAGAACAGAAGAGACGAGAAGAGACGAGAAGATATGAAAAGAGAAGATAATATACGAAGAGAGAAGAGAAGAAAGGAGAGGAGACGATCAATTAAGAGAAAGGGAAAGAAGATACGGTAAGAGAATAGACGAGAAGAGGAGAGGAGAGGAGAGAATAAAATATAAGATGTGATAACATATGACAAGAGAAGAGATGAGACAATGAAAGAAACGAAGCGAAGATAAGAGGATACATGATAAGCCAGTATAAGAGCAGAGAAGCGAAGAGAGGAAACGATAATAGGCATGGAAGAAAAAAGACGTAACGCGTAGATCAGGTGATAGAAACTATTCGGTGCAGTAAGATAGGAACTGTTAGGTCTAGAACAGAAGAACGAACAACCGATTACATGATGACAATAAGAGAAGCGAAGATAAGAGGAGAGAAGAACAGATCAAGCAATGTAATATACGATACGGGAATATAGATAAGGGAACACTACGTGATAAGTCCAGATGGACGCAAATATCATAAGACAACACTAAACGAAACGAACAGAGAAGAGCAGAGAAGAAGAGACTATCGGATAAGAGAAACTACGAAAAGAGTAGGACATGCACTATAGTATAAGAGAAAGCTAGGTACGATAAGATAGGGTACTATAAGGGACGACACTAGAAGGAGATAGAAGAGACGAGACGATACTGTAATGAACGATAAAGGAAGGAACGGTAATTGAAGAGACGAGACGAATGTACTAGAAGGTGAGAAAAGAAACTATGCTATACTAGAATAACCGGTAATACAGGACATAAAATAAGAGAAGGGACGAGGCGATACCATACGACAATCAACTATGAGACAAAAAGAGAAGATACAAGGAGATCAGGGAAGACAAACGAATCCAACAGGAGGGGAACTACGATACTATAGTATATGTAGAGGGAAGATACGATACGAGACGAAAGAGAGAAGACAAGAGAAAGGAAGGGGAAGGGAAGGGAAGGGAAGGGAGGCGGTAACATAATAGACGGGAAGAGAAATTGAGAGAAGAGGCGATAAAAGACGAGAAGAAACGTTACTGAAATATACTAGAAGATAATGTAAGCGACTCGGAGCGAGGATACGAGAAGATAAGGGAATATTATCTAGGATACTATAAATATCGAAAGAAGTTACTATAAGCAAAGCCAAGTGGAGCGAAGCGAAGAGAAGAGGAGAGCTGAGAAGAGAGAAAGGGGGGTAAGGGCGGGGAAGAAACGGAGCAGGATAACGAAGGGCAAGACGGACAAAAGGAGGAGGTAGGGAAGGCCAGCGGGGGAAGGGGAAGCCGAACACGACCACGACGACGACGAACGCCAGCAGCGGAAGCGAAGGAAAGGCAGCTGGAGGAGCAAGCGGAGGAGGAGGGGGAACAGGAACAGGAGGAGGAGGGAAGAGAAAGAAGGGAGGAGAGAGGAGGGAGGAGAGAGTCCGTAGCGAGTGTGGCTCAAATTCGAAACCCATGTCGCGGGGGCTCGAGCTTGTCTTGGGGGTCGGGCCCCACCTCGTCATATAAGGGCCCCTAAGTCTGCAAAGAAGGCCTAGCATACACATCGACAGCCCAGTCAGCAGCAAGCTGTGAACTTCTATGTCGCGAACTACACGACATGGAACGGCCGTGTCAGGACGCATTCAGCTGCTGATCATATGCACAATGTCGTTCTCCACTTTGGCGCTAAAACACATCTGCGACGGGGAGGTTCCCGTCTCCAAGAGCGAAAGAAATTCAAACAAGCGGGCTGCAATGTTCCCTCTTCCACAGCGGTTCCGGCGGCCAAAGATGGGCAACTGGGGCACGGTGGCGTTTGGGCACTGGCCAAGACCAAAAACCACTCCCAAGTTCCGTGCCCATGTGATGCAGAGTCGGCCCTGGCGGACAGGAGCAGTTGTTTGGCACCCAGTAGGCAGGCAAGAGGGTGAGGTCCTGCGGCCTTGACGTCATGTCTGTGTCTGCGCATTTGAACGACAGCGGGGGAATTGTCGGCACAGACGGTCTCATCCTAGAGGAACTCGCGGGGTACCCAGATCACGGTCTCGAAACACTCCATCACAATGGCGGACTCGAACATGTCCTCAAATCAGCTTCGGGACTCGGGGTGGCCAGCATACATGCGAGGGACGTTAAGGTCCCACCAAGAGAGTTTACCAACTCGGGAGGTTCTGTCGCCTCGGGGCATCCGGCATCAGTGGCACAACATACTCTGGGCCAGCGAGGAACTCGGGCACCGCGTCCAGGAGCCTTAGCCAAACTGGATCTCACTCGGGAAACCCTGGAAAGCCGCGCACCAGTTCCTGCCGCACCCCTCCCCACGAGCCTGTGGACCTGATCGACCGTGGGAGTATTTCCACCAGGGGGGCAAGCGCTTCATGGGCGCCTGGTCGCTGCCAGTTTTCGTCCCGAGGCAGCCCCGTCGGACCTCGCCAGTCAGCGCGACAAGTTTTCCACGCAGGCAGAGGCGTTCCTCTTGAACAGGGCAGGCAGGGGCGCTGGAGAGCAGAAGCAAGGTATGCGCCCAGCAGTTCGGATCCAAAGCTCCATTGCTGCAAAACCACCAGCGCCCTTCGGACGTTCGAAAGGGGTGCGTTTCTGGGAAGGTCGTCGATCCAGGTTCCAAGAGTTGTAGATACTTGCGGACAAGGCCTCATCAGGGGCCCCAGCACATCTAGAGATACACCAGCAACTGCAAACATGGAAGAAAGATACCCAAGTTACTCAGCACACAGCAGCCGGGCCTGGAAACGCGACGGCAACATGCGGAAGGCACTCGCAACGCTACCTTCGCCACCTGCTGCGAAGGATGAGCTCCGTGAAGCTTTGAATACAGCTGGGGCGGGCCAAGCAAAGGTCACCACAGCGGCTGCGAAGGAGAACTGTCGAGGTGCCCGCAAGCTTTTACGCGGCAACTTATCGTCAGGATGAGGACGGGCGCACCGCTTTATCCGAGCTTGACGCTAGCAGTTGAACGAGACAAAAACGAATAAAGGATACCATCGAACCTTCGAGGGTCACAGAAGCCAAGGCGGACAGGCGGGCAACATTGAGGGAGGAACGCGAGGAGGTGCAAAACAATAGTTTCGGCTGTGGGTTCACCGTGTGCGCGCAACAGCGCGCGCGCAGCAGGACGAGCGACCTCGCCCTGACCTCACCGCACCTGGCCTTCAGCGATACTTAAAGGAGCATTTACTTAAGTCTGGGACCTGATCCGTGGAATCCGAGACGGTGGCTGTCACCGCCAGGGAAAGACCGCGAGCGGCTACTCGACTGTTTCGTCGGCGTGGAAAAGCAGCCCACGCGGCCAACGCCAACCCCCGTCGACATCGCTGCCCAGACCCAGCAGCCCCCACAATGAAGAGATCAACCGGTTTGGGGGCGTCACGGAGAAGCAACCTGCGCAAGTCTGGGAGGAGAACAACGTTGGGCCCTGGAGCTCCGGAATGAAGAGAGGCAGCCCCTCACCAGGGGCGGTCCTACAGCAACTAAGTGCAGAAATGCGTGGCCTGCTCAATGCCAATTGGGTGCAGAGTCTGCGGGGTGCTGAAAAGTTCCACGATATTTTGGAAGGTCGTCTGGATTCTACTCCTGTTCCAACAAATTACCTCAATTGGGCCACATTCGCGTTGGGCGCGCCCGCCCCCGTTCCCCGCGGCCAGACAAAAAAACACTACCACAGTATGTTGGGAATTCGGCTGCAGGCAATCAGAGGCTTGCTCAAACAACGACTGCCCGTCTGTCGGGCTGCAAGCGAACGGTCGACGGCCAAACGGCTGCTAGCATTCCAGCGCACATCTCCTAGACGGGGAGCGGCGAGCGCATCGGCAGAGCCCCTTCTCGTCGACGCTCGCTCGCCGACGGCGAACCCGCCGCCAATCCAGCAGACCCAGACCCCCGGGAGTCACGAATGGTCCATTACGTTCGTTCTATGTGGTTCTCTGCGATGTCTCGAGCTTTGCGTTTCATGGTTCATTGTCTTGGTTTCTTCATTTATTGACTCGACTTGTTCCCACTGACAGCGAACGACCAAACCTTGGCATGGCCTGGTAGCCCATATCCAGCCTTGATAACCCTTGAAAGCCCTGGCGTTGTGCTACTCTCTACTCTAGCGTTGTGCCTGGACTATCCTCTCGTTCTTTTTTACTTAGCCATGTTGCAGCACATGGGGGATCGTTGGCTAGCGGTTGGCAGCCTTCTCCAAGAGAGTACCGAAGAAGAGCATTGCAACACGTGGGGGATCGTTGGCTAGCGGCTGGCAGCCTTCTCTCAGAGAGTACCCAAGAAGAGCACTCCGTCATCGCAGGGCGCATGCAGAGCGCAGCCTGGTTCAGAGTGCGAGTGCGGGATATACTTGACAACGCGCACCGCGGCTACCCCCCCCTCCAAGAATACAATCGGCAGCTGGGTGGGTGACCTAGCGCAGTTGAGCGTTTGAACCGCACCAGGAGCTGTGGGCCAGGTCACTTCAGTCGGGCCTGGCCAGCTCCTCTTCAGTTCGAGCTGAGTGGAAGAAGAAACATAATAATATAAGGGGATATGGCTTGCCGCTCAAGGTGGAATTGTCAGCGCGTGATCTAGGAGTGGCTGTTGCCACTGCCGCAAGGGCCCCAGGGACTACCAAAGCTAGACAGCAAAAGGCCACCAGGAAGGCCTTGGGAATCCAGATCCTGGGTGAAACTGTTCGGGCGGCCAAACAGCTGGCCAAGACTGGTCACGGGCTGCAGGTGTCCCGTGGCGCCGTAGCGATGGGTCGCGCGCCCACGACGCTGCAAAAGCTGAGGGCCCAAGTTCCTAACATGTGCGGCAGCATGTGGGATGGGGGCAGTGCCACCACCACGAGTAGGATATCAGTTTCGGTAAGCGCAGCGACCACCTTTTTCCGTTGGATGTCGCAGCTTCTGCAGGCCCAGCAACACCGCCTCCCTAGGATTCCTGAGCGGCGCAATGAAATTGATGAGGCCTGGCAGAAGAGCCTCAACAAGTAAAAGGAACTGAGCACCGTTGGCTACGAGTCAAGGGACACATGTCGGCCGTCCACGCCACCCTTCTCGACATGCTCTGGCAGCCCACTATCCACGGGGCGGTCCAGCATTCAGTGTTGATGGAACCGAAGGCCCAGACAGGCTGGATCTTGAAGCAGGATCCTCCCTGGAACTGAACAAGTGGGCCCAAGCCAATACGCACGCTACGGGTTCTGGAGCTGACCTGGTCTTCAAGGAAGAGAGGGCCCGGCCAGATGGCTTCTGTTCCAGACGCGGTCGTCCAAGGGGGGGCCTCCTGGCCCGACCAACGCAGGCATGAGAACACGATGCCAGGCACCGCGGTGTGCCCGATGTGCGGAGCACCACGTGAAACACTTCACCATCATCTTTGGGAGCTGAAGCATGCCCTTGTTTTTAGAGGGCAGAAACTCCACCCCGATAATGACCACCCCGACACGCGAAGCCGTTTAGTGAACGCGCCCAAGAAAAGAAATGGAACAGGGCAGGGCTGCTCAATAAACGCCCAAGGAAGTTTAGTGAACGCCAATTGTCCGGTCCGGGTGGTTTTTCGTCCCTTGATTGTTGCGTGTTTGAAAAAGCATCGTACCTGGTCTTTGGACCATGCCCCCAGAAGGCACCCCTGCATCAGAAGAGAACACTTTCCAGGAGGGAGAGCGGCCAGAGGGGGGACCGAGGTTCAGGTTGCAGCCCGACTGGTTTGCAGGCGGCGACGGGTCCGGGGGAGGACATCGTGCGGACCCTCGCCTGCAACGCGCGGGTTGGGCCTTCGCCAGCTGAGGGGGGGAGACGGCCCTGGCATCCAATCGAGGCGGCATGTCTGGCTGGAGGCAGACAGTGCCCCGAGCCGAGCTGCTAGCAATAATCAGAGCGCTCCAGGTCACATCAGGTGATGCAACATTAGGAGAAGAAGAAACCACATGAATATAAACTTTTGGCGCTCCGCGCAAATTTCTTGGATCCGCGCCGGTCCCCCCTCCCTGGCGCGCTGAGCGCGCCAGGGGCGGCGCCGGAGACGCCGCCGGGGGGGCCCAGGCGCGGATCCCAGAAATCCGCGCGGAGCGCCAAAAGTTGATGTGTATGCGTGTTTTTCTTATTCGAGACGTACGCTGTTGACGCGTGCTGCATAGAGAAGGGTACCAAGAGAGGTCCCACCTGGAAGCACAGGAGCAATGCGGATATCCAGGCACCGCACAGGCAAGCAGCAGGAGAGCGTGAGGGCACACCACTCGCACGAGTCAAGGTCGAGTCACCTCGAAAGGTCAGCAGCAGGGGCAGGATCCCCCTTGGACCATTAGTTCGCTACTACTAAAGCTGATGAGTTGGCGGACAGAGCCGCCCAGAAGCCGCGGCCCCGCATGGCCAGGGAGGCCAAGTCAGGGAGGCCGACAAGCAGGCCTGGAAGGCACAAGGATTTCTTACGGGACAACCCTTAAACCTGGTGTGCACGCTATGTCTGTAGCCCAAGCTACTGCCAGAGCGCAGCAACAGCCTTTTCTACTTCGATCCCCGCCTTGTGTGAATTACCGCACCTCCCAAGAATGGAGATGCCAGGCCTGCCCGGACACCGCGGGGAAACGATTGTTGGAAAAGTGCTCGGCCTCGACCTGTCTGAGACGGTCTATCCAGATCGACGTTTCACACAGGCTTACGAACTACCGAGGTCCCTGGTGTTGCCGCCTGCGTGGGGAACAGGGGGTAAGAGAAGTTTGCCCGACTCGCCAAACAGTGCAGCAGGCGCCTTGGTAAGGATGGTAAGGCCACGCTTGAAGCAATCGACCTTGGCGACCAGCCACAACTGGGGGAGCTGTGGTCCTTACCCCCCTGGGGGGACCCCCTCGCGTCGACGATCTCTCGAGAGGGGTGTCGAAATCGATGGGTCCCCTAGGGGAATAAGGACCACAGCTCCCCCAGTTATGGCTGGCCTGCCTTGGCAAGCTTCCCAAAGGTTTGAAGCGATGGTCTCACGTAGCAGATTCAAGAACCCCCACTCAGGCAGGAGCAGCAGCGCAGTCAGGAGACCCTATAGGCCCAGTGCAGTCGGCCAAGGAGATGTCTCCTCGCCGGCACTTGCAGCAGAAACGCAGGCTGACCAGCCTGGGCCAGACACGCGAGAAAGACATCGGGAGCCGGATTCCATGCAGTTTGATGACGAGGAAGAGTCGGCAGTCTTTCTGTTTGGGCAAGGGGCAGAGACCGGAGGAAGACCGCCTCCGCAACTGCCCCAGAGGATCTCAGCTAGACCGCGGGAGCCCAAAGTCGGGAAGTTGTCGGCCGTGGTCGCAAAACAATGGCCAGCTGAGACAAGTGCGGGATACGCTGCGAGACGAAGGGGTTGTGCAGCCTTTGGTTGCCCCTTCGTCGGTGCGAGTAGGAGTCGACCTCCGACGAATGTGCTGATTTGCAAGGCGCGCCTTGCACCGTGCACAGAGGCTGCATAGCCTGAGGGGTACTGCCCGCCCGAGGGTCTCTGGCACAGGTATCCCACCCAGGGCCCTATGACACCCGCGACCACGGCGCCTGGCCTTTTTTCCCACACGTTGTTTGATCCAGCTGCCCGTGCAAAAAAATCGGGCCCTCTCTGGCCTGAGGGTGGTACGTTTGCCGTGTCAGCCACCGCCAGACAATAACCAAAGAGGGTTCCTCCCTGTTCTGAGACCCACCGTGCTAGCCGCGAAGGCGGGCTTGGCACTGGATAGGTGGGGCTCTGGGGTCAGGGGACACTCGTCTCGCCAGGGAGTCCCCTTCAGCCCCCTTTGAAGAGGTACGAAGCGAACTGCGACTACGCCTCAGGTGGTAGCGCCGGAGGGAGAAGGAGGAGGGAGGAGGGAGCGGGGAGCAGGGAGGAGGGAGGAGCAACAGGAGGAGGCGGGAAGAGGGAGGAGCGAGGAGGCCCCGGGGAGGGAGGAGGGAGGAGGGAGGGATTGCCCGCTGCCAACCGGCAGCCCGTCCATGCCCATGATGGACTTCCGCACGGACTCCTGGGGCGACATGGCGGCGCGAGGCGCGGGGGGGCACGAGTTCATGGTCGCCGCTGCCGTCTGCCCCCTCCTCCTCCTCATCCTCCCCCTCCTCCTCCTCCTCCTCCTCCTCCTCCTGCTCCTGCTCCTCCTCCTCCTCCTGCTCCTCCTCCTCCTCCTGCTCCTCCTCCTCCTCATCATCATCATCATCATCATCATCATCATCATCATCATCATCATCATCATCATAATCATCATCATCATCATCATCATCATCATCATCATCATCATCATCATCATCATCATCATCATCATCATCATCATCATCATCATCATCCTTCTCCCCCGCCACGAACCGGCTCCTTGCAACACACTTCCTTCCGCCGGCGGCGGGGCCACCGCAGCGCGAGCTGTCCGGCACGCAGGAGATCGGGCGAAGAGAACTGTGCTTAAGTCGGGCCTGTCCCCCTACAGGGGGATTTTCAACGAAAAATTAAACATACCCCAGAATACCCCAAATTTTTGGAAAAATGCTCAAGAAATTGTCCCCGGATTATGTTTGGACTATTTTTTTATTTTTCTGCCTAGAAAGGCTCTTACTCTCTATCTTAAAGGGGCCGGGCAGTGGAAACCGCCCCGGGCGGTTCCCCCAGGATCCGCCCCGCGGTTCCCCCAGCTACGTCCCCTTAGCTTAGCGTTGCTTATCTCTCATCTTAGCTTAGCTTATTTCATCTTAGCTTAGCTTAGCTTAGCTTCATCTTAGTTCAGGCTTATCTTAGCTTAGCTGACCTTCATCTTAGCCGCAGAGCTTTAGCATAGCAGAGCACAGCATAGCATAGCAAAGCGTAGCATAGCGCAGCACAGCATATCATAGCATATCCCAGCACAGCATAGCATAGTTCAGCATAGCATAGGATAGCATAGCATAGCGCAGCACAGCACAGCACAGCAAAGCACAGCGCAGCATAGCATAGCATACCAGAGCATAGCATAGCATAGCAGCAAAGCGAAGGCAAAACAACAGCAGCGACAGCAAAGCAAAGCACAAGCAACGCAAAGCAAAGCAAAGCAAAAGCAAAAGCAAAGCAAAATTAAAGGCATAGCAAAAGCAATGTGCGACAGATGCCGAGCTAGCCTCGATGGCCGGCAGTGCCTTCCGTAACCATGTCGGCTCAAGTCCGGAGGCCCTGCCACACAGCCGCCCACGCTCATGTCCCGAGGTTGGCGGAGTGAGGCGTTCAGCGGTGCTGCACAGTCCGCGTTGCCAGTTTAGTTTTCTGTTCGGGTAATTAGCATGGGCGTAATTCCCTACCTAGGCTTAGCTTAGCATAGCCTAGCTTAGCTTAGCTTAGCTTAGCATAGCGCAGCGCTGCATTAGCATAGCAAAGCATAGCATAACATAGCATAACATAGCCCAGCATAGCATAGCATAACATAGCGCAGCATAGCATAGCATAGCATAGCATAGCATAGCATAGCATAGCGCAGCTTAGCATAGCATAGCATAGCTTATCATAGCACAGCGCAGAATGACATAGCATAGCTTAGCATAGCATTGCATAGTAAATCATAGCGTAGCATAGCGCAGCATAGCATAGCATAGCATAGCATAGGATAGCATAGCGCAGCATAGCATAGCGCAGCATAGCATAGCATAGCATAGCAACTAGTGCTGCTTCCCTAGGGGCTCCAACTTCTAGGTAGGGTCGCACTGGGGTACTTTTCTATCGAAAATCCCCCTGTAGGGGGACAGGCCCGGCTTAAAAATATGCACATGCACCGATCCTGACAACGCCCATCCTTGACCCAGGATCGGTGCATATGCCTTCCTGGCCAAGGTAGGAGGGCGTATGCACCGATCCTGGGCTCAGGATGGGCCTGGCCAGAATCGGTGTACGTGCATAGTTCTTTTTCCTCTAGGAGATGGGGGAGACGAGACCGACCCAGACATGATCGCGTCGCGAAAAAATTCGGGCGGGAGGTTTTTGGCCATTTTCGGCCCCAGGGGGGGCCTCGCCGGGCCTCGGGACCGCCAAAAAGCGACTCGTGACGGAAAACCGGTCCCGGGGAAAGGGTCGGGACTTCCAGGGACGCCGCCCTGAAAAAATCAGGACGTCGTATGTCTGGGGGCAGGGCGGCCGCGTGGGACTGGAGGAAGCGGGAAAGCACTCAGACGCGGAAGAATTCCAGACCGAACGCACCGGAAAAGGCACAGGGGGGGAGGGGGAGGGGCAAGGGAGGAGGAGCGCCCCGCCTACAGGGAGCCTGAAGAGCCCCCAAGCACGGGCCCACGCAGGGGCGTTAGGGGGCATCGGAGGCGTCTCCACAATGACCCCCGAGCCAGGGCCGTCGACGAGGGCTCATCACAGGGGCGCAGCTGACTCCCGCGTCAGGGCTGAGCCCCCGTTGCCTGCGCCCCGACGGAGGTCGCGCAGGTGCCACGCGGCAGCCCCCCCCCTCGCGGAGGCTCGGCGGCGCAAAGGGTCGTCGTCGTCGCCGTCGCCGTCGCCGTCGCCGCCGCCGCCGCCGTCGTCGTCGTGGTCGCCGCCGCCGTCGTCGTCGTCGCCGCCGTCGTCGTCGTCATCGTCGTCGTCGTCGCCGTGGTCGTCGCGCCCCGCCGCGCGGCCCCCCGCGCCGGCGGGGGCGCACCGCGGTGCGCTGGCCGGGGCGCCCCGCCGCGCCCCGCCCCCGAGCGGGGCGGGTACGACGCACTCGGGGAGGAGCGGGGCTCGGTGCTGCTCGGCTGCTCGTCGGCCTCTGGAGGCCGTCTCCAGAGGCCGCCAGGGGCGCGCGGTTACATCATTACCCCTGCAAGTCGGTCAGAAGAAGTGGGTAAAGACATGAAGCAGGAAGGCGGATTGAGTTGATTGGGTCCAGGTCCTCCCAGAGAATAACAAAACACAGCAACAGCGTGCCGATTCTTGAAGTAGGATGGCGCTTGAAGTAGATCGGGATCTGGGAATCCAAAAAATACCTACTTTCAGCGACCGGCGTGTACAGTCGGACTTGATTGGAGAGGATACGCGAGGGGACACAAGACCCCTCCGAGGGATACATTGCCCTAGGAATGTAAAAGGCATGCTTCTTTCAAGACAGGACACAAGGCTACCCTTGACTTAGCAGGGTCGACCTACTAATCCTGGCCGAATGTACCCTTGTCCAGGGTTGCCTGTCGCCCACCGCGGGTATTAGCAGCGCTGCGCGCAGGCTGCGCCGAGATTGAAGTCGGGCCAGGCCTCCTACAGGGGGACTTTGGCCGAAAACAATCTTTAACAAACAACAAAAAGGTCCCTGACTACTGTTTGACTGTTTTTAAGATTCCTCCTGTAAGGGGACGTGCCCGACTTACGCGGAGATGACTACGACACGCTAGAGTCGCGTCGCGGTGGCGTCGTCTCACGTCAGGGTCGAGCAGGCGCGCAAGCGACTGGGGCTGGGTGCGACAACGCCCGCTGCGCGACGGCCAGAGTGCGGCACCGCTGCGCACAGCTTGGGCCGCAATGACTACGACCGGTCGCCGTCGCGTCGCGATGTCGTCGGCATTGGTTTCTGATGCCGCGTGGATCGTTCAACCCTGCACGCTTGCGGCTTCAAACTTGTGCAAATGATTCGACATTGACCGATTCTGGGCCACCAGCGGCGTTCGCTCTTGAACGTCCGCGGCGTGTCGTCGCCACGTCGACGCGGCGAGAACTTACCGCACGGAAGAAGGAGGCACAGCGCTGCCTAATGTCCGGGCGTGGAGGGAGCCTGCATCGGCTCGACCCACGACTCTGCCACCACGGCGAAACGCACCAGCCTCGAGAAGAAGAAGGTACTTGGCGGCTGCAGGGCTGGGAAACGGAGGGCCAACGGCGGGCAGCAGGAATGCGACAGAGGCATATTTTGACCACATGTTCGAGCATGCCCAGGAGTTGGAGGACGGAGGAGTCGGAGGCGGGGATGATCCGAGGCGGGAATTTATACATGACCACCGCCTGGAGGGTCAGTTTACGGAGCCTCGGCAGGCGATGGATATGGACATTTTCGGGGCCCCGGGGCCGAAATATATCCATATCCACCGCCCGCTGGGGCACCAGGACGTCGGTTCCAAGGCGGTGGATATGGATAAATTCCCGCCTCGCAGATGAGGAAAAGAAGGTGCGGAGGAGGCAGCTGGGGAGAGGACCGCGCGAGAGAGGCCCCCGACCTTGCGCGACTACATGTGGGCGCCCCCACTGCTCGGCAGCCCGGGCCCGGTGAGTGCGAAAGGCTGGCGCAGAGAACGCCAACTTTCCACCTGCACCCGTCCAGGATCGATCGGCGGTCGCGCCCTCCCGGCCGGGGCGGAGGCGGAGGAGGCGGAGGAGGAGGGGGAACGGGGGAGGGGTGGAGCAGAAGGAGGAAGGAGGGAGTAAGGAAGGCGAAGGGAGGACGAGCAGGAAGAGGAGAAAAAAGAGGAGAGAGGAGGCGGAGCGAGGAGAAGGAGGATGACGGGAGAACGACAGGGAGGGGGGGAGGGCGAGGACCGAGCGAGACCGAGGAGGAGGACGATCGAGAGCGGGAGGGGGAGAGCCCAGCCCAGTGAGGCGAAGTTCCTTCGAGGTGAAGCCCACGAAGCCGAAGCCGCGCGACGCTCCCGACTCGTTGTCCTTGACCACCTGAGACGTCGTCGTCGTCGTCGTCGCTGGCGCCGATCCTCGCAGCCCCGGGCTTGGGGGCCAAGGCTTCTGGACGTGCGTTGGCTCTTCTTGCGGGGCCCTGCCTCCAGAGGCCCGCGCGCAGACCTCTGGGGGCCTCTGGAGACCTCCAGGCAGCGTCGTCGAACTCGTCCTCGCACTCGTTGACGTCGTCGCCCTCGAGCAGGACGACGACGACGACGACGACGACGACGACGACGACGACGACGACGACGACGACCACGACCACGACCACGACCACGACCACGACCACGACGACGACCACGACGACAACCGCGACGACAACGAGCACAACCACGACCACGACGACGACGACCACGACGACGACAACGATGACGACGACGACGGCGGCGACGACGACGACAACGGCGACGACGACGACGACGACGACGGCGAGAAAGAGGGGGTGAGTGGGGGAGGGGGGTGATGAAGAAAGAGGGGGAGTAGAACTAGGCGTAAAGGAGAGCTGACGAGGGTTGAGGGGCGCGGGGGGCACTGGCAGTGAAGAAGAGAGGCGGAAGAGGGAAGGATGAGACAGGTAGGCGCAGGAGGGAGTTCTGTCACCCGAGATACGTACATATCTCAAGGAAGGGAGGAAGGGAAGAAGGAGGGACAGCAGCGGCAGCGGGAAGGAAGCGAGGAACAAAGACGAGGACACGGAGGAGGAGGAGGAGGAGGAGGAGGAGGAGAATGAGGAGGAGGATAATGAAGGAGGACGAGAAAGAGAGGGAGCACGTATAGGCGAGCAGCGGCATCGGCTGAGGGCGGAAAACCCAGGAGACCGAGGAGGACGGAGGAGGACCGAGGAAGAGCAGGGATGATCACTGAGGACCCAAGGGTCGGGGGCGGCCAAGAGGGGGGCGTCCAAGAGGGGGGGGGGGGGGGGGGGGCAAATCATGGCCGGCGGCATGTGCGCGGCCCAGCGCAGGGGCCAGGGACGTAACGAAATGAGAAGAGAGGCCATGCCATCTGGGGAGATATCATGGCCCCCGCCATGACATCCCCCCCCCTAGTCATCACCCCCCTCTTTGCCGCCCCCGAAAAGGGAGCGAGGACAACTTGGTTGGATTGGAACCACATCCAAGGTTATGTTGCTCCCACCGTACTTAAGGACCGCATCCCAGAAATAACTTCGAGCACCCGGAACAAAAATCGAAAGAGTGCCGAAACCGTGTCGAAACAGCGCCTCCCAGGGCCCAACACGTGAAAACCCTCGAGTTTGGGGTAGTTTTTTGGCGCTCGAAATTCTTTCTGGTGGTCAAGGCTAAAGCAGGTTGGAATATCATAAATCCAAGGCCGTCCATCGGGGATCTTCTGACCCGGGTCAATCCAGACCCGGGGCAGTAGGAAACCAAAAATTGCAATGCAGGAAAAAAACTGCAACGCAAGTCTTCGCAAACCCGGGTCAGCCAACAGGTGCGGCCGCCTCGCGGCTCGCTAACCCGGGTCAGCCAGAGGGGGTCTTCGCAGGATCCTGCAGGATCCGGTGCCCTGGCTGACCCCCGTTTGCACTGACCCCCGTCTCTTGAGCCCCGAGTCCACTGGGGGCCCAGTGCCCCGGGCCTCCCTCCCGGCCTCCTGCGCTCGCGCCTCCTCCTCCCCCATCGCATCACCGCACGCGGCTCCCCCTCGAGCTGCCTCGCCCCGCACTCGCTGACTCCGCCGCGCGGTGTCTCGTCTCCCGCTCGTCGAGCCCACAGGGAGGCCAGGATTAGGAGGAAACAGAAAGCGACACGCCAACTCCCCGTCCCCCTCCCCCCTTCCCCGAGCCGCCGTCGGCTTCGTCGTCGTCGTCGTCGTCGACGTCGTCGACGTCGTCGTCGTCGCCTTCGCTGGAGGCCGGGGCTGGGTCAGAATAGGGTCGCTCAGGATGCCTTCTGCCTGGCAGCCTCGCCAAGGAGGCCGTGCCCGCAGCTTCACAAGCGACCCGAAAGGGTCCAACCGACCAACCAACCAACCAACCAACCAGGGCTGAACCTAAACGGTGTTTTTCGATTTCGTTTTGTTTTCGTTGTCCTTCGCCTTTGTCTCGAAACCGCCCGTGCCGCAAAACGAAGTCGAAACGAAAACGGCCCACGAACGCACCAGAAACGCCGTTTCGGTCCAGCCCTGCAACCGACCAACTTCCTCCCGCTCTCGCTCCGCCCCTACCCTGCCGCCCTCTCCAGCCCCCATTCTCGCTCCGCCGCCCTCTCCAGCCCCCCCCCCTCTCGCTCCGCCGCCCTCTCCAGCCCCCCCCCACCACTCACCTCCAAACCCCCCTCGCTCCGCCGCCCTCTCCAGGCCCCCCCCCCGCTCTGCCCCCGTCCCCCGCCTCTGCCCTGCCGCCCCGCCCCCTTCCCCCCTGTGCCCCTCGCTCGGACTGCCCTCTTCCCTTCCTCCGTGCTCCCAGGGCCCCTGGGGATGCCCCAGGGAGGAGTTTGGACGATGGAGGTCGCCGGGAGTCTCCAGAGATCCCTGGATTGCCGGAGCCCCCAGACGCCTCGAGAGGCCTATATGGAGGCCTCCCGAGACCTCAAAACTGCTAAAGCCAACTGCAGTCTTCGGCCATCGAACCTGGGGAACGGAGGATCATGATGAGGAGGCGGAGGCGGAGGAGGAGGAGGACGACGACGACGATGACGACGATGAGGTCTCCAGGGGTACCTCTGGAGGCCCGGGAAGGACCAGTAACGTACAAGAGCCTCGACCCTCGGTACTCCAGGATCGAAGGGGAACCCCCGCGACTAGGATGGAGCCGCCGCCCTTCCCTCTCAGCCCGCTGGTCTTCGCTCTTTTCCCCCCCAGTCGGCACCGTGCAAGAGACGACCTCGCCGAAGTGGTCGAAGTGCCGCTGGCAGCGGGAAGGGGGGAGGAGGAGGAGGAGGAGGAGGAGGAGGAGGAGGAGGAGGAGGAGGAGGAGGAGGAGGAGGAGGAGGAGGAGGAGAAGATGAGGATGAGGAGAAGATGAGGAGGACGAGGAGGAAGAGGAGGGAGAGGGGGAGGAGGGCCGTGTCGAGGACGAGGAGGATGGGGAGCAGCAGCACGAGGAGGACAATCAGGACAAGGGGGGCGGGAGTGGGCAGGAGGACAGAAAGGGGGATAGGTAGAAGAAGGAGGAGTGGGTGGACGAGGAGGAGGAGGACGAGGAGGACGGGAAGGGGAGATAGGTAGAAGAAGGCATGGAGGGGGGAGGAGGACGGCGAGGAGAAGGACAGGGGCGGGAGCATGACGAGAAGGAGGAGGAGGAGGAGGAGGAGGCAGGAGGAGGAAAGGGAGGGGGAGCAGGAAGATAGGTCGGGAGAAGCAGGAGGAGGGCAAGGAGGACGAAAAGGATCGGCAACAGAAGCGTGGCGGCTAGAAGCAGAGGCAAAGGGAGCAGAGGAAAAGAGAAGAGAAGGGTTGGACGAGGAGCAGGAGGAGGGCGGCGAGGAAGAGGAAGAGAAAAAGCAGGAACACGAGGTCAGACGTCGAACAACTTGAGGGGCAAGGATGCATAGCGAGAGGGCGCGGCCAACGAGGGCGTCGCCATGACGCCTTGACGATCACCGAAGTTGTCGGAACTTCGAATGCAATCCTGGCAAACCCTCTTACGGACTGCGCTTCCAATGCGCAACGAGAATCATGCCGAATCCGAGCACGAATCCGCCCGCAGCATCTGGGGCCTGGCCACCCCAGAACGGTTGAGAGCACAGAATCGTTGACTGAATCGTCCCGTCAAGCCACCCAGCTTCCCGCTTCGCGCCGCGCAGATCTGCGCAACGCGCGATGATCCTCGCGCCCTCGCGCGGAAGGCCCTGGGGAAGGGCAGCTCTCTGGCCCGGGCTGCGGGCCGCCACGCGCAGCTGTCTCTGCGCCACTGCGGGCGGCCCAGAGCAGCGCTCCGAGCTGGCGTTGGCCGTGGACAGCGGGAGGGGGCGCGCTCCGGAGCGCGGGGGCTCGCGAGCAGAGGGGGCGAGGAGGTCGACGGTCGTCAGGGATGAGCCAGCGGCGCACTACTCTTCTGCAGTTGCCGCACGGGGTGGCTGGGAGTGTGCACGCGGACAGCGCTCCTCCTCCTCCTCCTCCTCCTCCTCCTCCTCCTCCTCCTCCTCCTCCTCCTCCTCCTCCTCCTCCTCCTCCTCCTCCTCCTCCTCCTCCTCCTCCTCCTCCTCCTCCTCCTCCTCCTCCTCCTATTTTCCTTGAACTGGTGCACTCCGCGACGCGGCGGCGACGGGGTCCGGTGGGCCCGGGCGCGCGGCGGGGAGCCCTCTGGCGCGCCGCCCCGCGGCGCTTGTGTCCCGGGCGGCCGCTGTCCGGGCGGCCCTGATGACGCCGCAGCGCCAGCAGCGGCGCCGCCCGGGCTCTCCAGCCTGGCCGCGGCCCCGTCCAGCGCCACCTGAGCGACGAGAAGAAAGGGGCCTGACGCACGATGGCACAGCGATCTTGCGCAGCGGCTCGGGCGCCGCGGGCTGCCAGCGTGGCACACCGCGCAGAGGAGAGGGCGCCTGAGGGCGCGGCCTCGCGCGGGAAGCTTACGCGCGCGAATGTCCGCGCAGCCGCGCAGGCGCCGTTGTCAGACCCCCGACGTCGTGTTTTTTCACAACGTCGACCCCCAGTGGTCTGGACCCCTTCCCCGGGACCGGTTTCTCGTCCTGAGTCGTTTTTGGACGGTCCCGAGGCCCGGGAAGGGCCCCCAGAGGCCGAAAATAGCGGAAAACCCTCCCGTCGTGATTGTTTCACCACGCGAGGAGGTCTGGGTTGTCCTCAGCCGGCGCCCACCTCGTCCCACAGGGCGCAGTGGGTGGTCTCGATGTCGAGGAGCTCGAACTCCCCGCTCGGGCAGCGCAGGCTCTCGCCCGACCCCACCTCGCTCAAGGGCAGGGGCGTCGACGGCCAGTCGCGGGGGTCGTCGCTGCCCCCGGAGTCGGGGCCCCGCTTCGCGCGCTCGGCGCCCAGCCCCTCCACGAGGTCCTGCGGCTCCACGGGCGCGGGGCCCGCGGAGAAGAAGGGGTCGCCGAGCGCGTCTTCCGCGGACACCCGCCGCGCCGGGTTCAGCGCGACGAAGCGCCGGAGGAGGTCGACGGCGGCCTGCGAGCGCTGCTGCTGGAAGGAGAAGGGCTCGGGGCTTCTGGGGAGGAACTCCACCTGTTCGGGGGGCGGCAGCCGCACACCACCACCACTCCTGGCCAGGACCGTCCTGTGCCCTGAGACGGTGCCATGCAGCCTCCTGGCCTCGACCAGCAGGGAGAGGGTGGCCCTCGCCAGGGACGGCGGCGGTGTGTGTGTGTCTGTGTGTGTCTGTGTGTGTCTGTGTGTGTCTGTGTGTGTCTGTGTGTGTCTGTGTGTGTCTGTGTGTGTCTGTGTGTGTCTGTGTGTGTGTCTGTGTGTGTCTGTGCGTGTCTGTGTGTGTGTCTGTGTGTGTGTCTGTGCGTGTCTGTGTGTGTGTCTGTGTGTGTCTGTGTGTGTGTCTGTGTGTGTGTCTGTGTGTGTGTCTGTGTGTGTGTCTGTGTGTGTCTGTGTGTGTCTGTGTGTGTGTGTCTGTGTGTGTCTGTGTGTGTGTGTCTGTGTGTTGTGTGTGTTGTGTGTGTCTCTGTGTGTTGTGTGTGTGTGTGTGTGTGTGTGTGTGTGTGTTGTGTGTGTTGTGTGTGTGTGTGTGTGTGTGTTGTGTGTGTGTGTGTGTGTTGTGTGTGTGTGTGTTTTGTGTGTCGTGTGATGTGTGTGTGTCTGCTGTGTGTGTGTGTCTCTGTGTGTCTCTGTGTGTTTGTGTGTCTCTGTGTCTCTGTGTCTCTGTGTTCTGTCTCTGTGTCTCTGTCCTCTGTGTGTGTCTCTGTGTGTCTCTGTGTGTCTCTGTGTGTCTCTGTGTGTCTCTGTGTGTCTCTCGGTGTGTCTCTGTGTCTCTGTCTCTGTCTTTGTGTGTCTCTCTGTGTCTCTGTGTCTCTGTGTCTCTGTGTCTCTGTGTCTCTGTGTCTCTGTGTCTCTGTGTCTCTGTGTCTCTGTGTCTCTGTGTCTCTGTGTCTCTGTGTCTCTGTGTCTCTGTGTCTCTGTGTCTCTGTGTCTCTGTGTCTCTGTGTCTCTGTGTCTCTGTGTCTCTGTGTCTATGTGTCTCTGTGTCTCTGTGTCTCTGTGTCTCTGTGTCTCTGTGTCTCTGTGTCTCTGTGTCTCTGTGTCTCTGTGTCTCTGTGTCTCTGTGTCTCTGTGTCTCTGTGTCTCTGTGTCTCTGTGTCTCTGTGTCTCTGTGTCTCTGTGTCTCTGTGTCTCTGTGTCTCTGTGTCTCTGTGTCTCTGTGTCTCTGTGTCTCTGTGTCTCTGTGTCTCTGTGTCTCTGTGTCTCTGTGTCTCTGTGTCTCTGTGTCTCTGTGTCTCTGTGTCTCTGTGTCTCTGTGTCTCTGTGTCTCTGTGTCTCTGTGTCTCTGTGTCTCTGTGTCTCTGTGTCTCTGTGTCTCTGTGTCTCTGTGTCTCTGTGTCTCTGTGTCTCTGTGTCTCTGTGTCTCTGTGTCTCTGTGTCTCTGTGTCTCTGTGTCTCTGTGTCTCTGTGTCTCTGTGTCTCTGTGTCTCTGTGTCTCTGTGTCTCTGTGTCTCTGTGTCTCTGGGTCTCTGTGTCTCTGTGTCTCTGTGGCTCTGTGTCTCTGTGTCTCTGTGTCTCTGTGTCTCTGTGTCTCTCTGTGTCTCTCTGTGTCTCTGTGTCTGTGGCTCTCTGTGTCTCTCTGTGTCTCTCTGTGTCTCTCTGTGTCTCTGTGTGTCTCTCTGTGTCTCGCTGTGTCTCTCTGTGTCTCTGTGTCTGTGGCTCTCTGTGTCTCTCTGTGTCTCTCTGTGTCTCTCTGTGTCTCTGTGTGTCTCTCTGTGTCTCTCTGTGTCTCTCTGTGTCTCTCTGTGTCTCTCTGTGTCTCTCTGTGCTCTCTCTCTCTGTGTCTCTCTGTGTCTCTCTGTGTCTCTCTGTGTCTCTATGTGTCTCTCTGTGTCTCTCTGTGCCTCTCTGTGTCTCTCTGCGTCTCTCTGTGCCTCTCTGTGCCTCGCTGTGCCTCTCTGTGTCTCTCTGTGTCTCTCTGTGTCTCTCTGTGCCTCTCTGTGTCTCTCTGTGTCTCTCTGTGTCTCTCTGTGTCTCTCTGTGTCTCTCTGTGTGTCTCTGTGTGTCTCTGTGTGTCTCTGTGTGTCTCTGTGTGTCTCTGTGTGTCTCTGTGTGTCTCTGTGTGTCTCTGTGTGTCTCTGTGTGTCTCTGTGTGTCTCTGTGTGTCTCTGTGTGTCTCTGTGTGTCTCTGTGTGTCTCTGTGTGTCTCTGTGTGTCTCTGTGTGTCTCTGTGTGTCTCTGTGTGTCTCTGTGTGTCTCTGTGTGTCTCTGTGTGTCTCTGTGTGTCTCTGTGTGTCTCTGTGTGTCTCTGTGTGTCTCTGTGTGTCTCTGTGTGTCTCTGTGTGTCTCTGTGTGTCTGTGTGTGTCTGTGTGTGTCTGTGTGTGGCTGTGTGTGGCTGTGTGTGTCTCTGTGTGTCTCTGTGTGTCTCTGTGTGTCTCTGTGTGTCTCTGTGTGTCTCTGTGTGTCTCTGTGTGTCTCTGTGTGTCTCTGTGTGTCTCTGTGTGTCTCTGTGTGTCTCTGTGTGTCTCTGTGTGTCTCTGTGTGTCTCTGTGTGTCTCTGTGTGTCTCTGTGTGTCTCTGTGTGTCTCTGTGTGTCTCTGTGTGTCTCTGTGTGTCTCTGTGTGTCTCTGTGTGTCTCTGTGTGTCTCTGTGTGTCTCTGTGTGTCTCTGTGTGTCTCTGTGTGTCTCCTCTGTGTGTCTCTGTGTGTCTCTGTGTGTCTCTGTGTGTCTCTGTGTGTCTCTGTGTGTCTCTGTGTGTCTCTGTGTGTCTCTGTGTGTCTCTGTGTGTCTCTGTGTGTCTCTGTGTGTCTCTGTGTGTCTCTGTGTGTCTCTGTGTGTCTATGTGTGTCTCTGTGTGTCTCTGTGTGTCTCTGTGTGTCTCTGTGTGTCTCTGTGTGTCTCTGTGTGTCTCTGTGTGTCTCTGTGTGTCTCTGTGTGTCTCTGTGTGTCTGTGTGTCTGTGTGTCTCTGTGTGTCTCTGTGTGTCTCTGTGTGTCTCTGTGTGTCTCTGTGTGTCTCGGTGTGTCTCTGTGTGTCTCTGTGTGTCTCGGTGTGTCTCTGTGTGTCTCTGTGTGTCTCTGTGTGTCTCTGTGTGTCTCTGTGTGTCTCTGTGTGTCTCTGTGTGTCTCTGTGTGTCTCTGTGTGTCTCTGTGTGTCTCTGTGTGTCTCTGTGTGTCTCTGTGTGTCTCTGTGTGCCTCTGTGTGCCTCTGTGTGTCTCTGTGTGTCTCTGTGTGTCTCTGTGTGTCTCTGTGTGTCTCTGTGTGTCTCTGTGTGTCTCTGTGTGTCTCTGTGTGTCTCTGTGTGTCTCTGTGTGTCTCTGTGTGTCTCTGTGTGTCTCTGTGTGTCTCTGTGTGTCTCTGTGTGTCTCTGTGTGTCTCTGTGTGTCTCTGTGTGTCTCTGTGTGTATCTGTGTGTCTGTGTGTCTCTGTGTGTCTCTGTGTGTCTCTGTGTGTCTCTGTGTGTCTCTGTGTGTCTCTGTGTGTCTCTGTGTGTCTCTGTGTGTCTCTGTGTGTCTCTGTGTGTCTCTGTGTGTCTATGTGTGTCTCTGTGTATCTCTGTGTGTCTCTGTGTGTCTCTGCGTGCCTCTGTGTGCCTCTGTGTGCCTCTGTGTGCCTCTGTGTGCCTCTGTGTGTCTCTGTGTGTCTCGGTGTGTCTCGGTGTGTCTCGGTGTGTCTCGGTGTGGCTCGTTGTGGCTCGGTGTGGCTCGGTGTGCCTCTGTGTGCCTCTGTGTGTGGCTCTGTGTGTGGCTCTGTGTGTGGCTCTGTGTGTGGCTCTGTGTGTGGCTCTGTGTGTGGCTCTGTGTGTGGCTCCGTGTGTGGCTCTGTGTGTGGCTCTGTGTGTGTCTCTGTGTGTGGCTCTGTGTGTGTCTCTGTGTGTGGCTCTGTGTGTGGCTCTGTGTGTGGCTCTGTGTGTGGCTCTGTGAGTGGCTCTGTGAGTGGCTCTGTGTGTGGCTCTGTGTGTGGCTCTGTGTTTGGCTCTGTGTGTGGCTCTGTGTGTGTCTCTGTGTGTGTGTCTCTGTGTGTGGCTCTGTGTGTGTCTCTGTGTGTGTCTCTGTGTGTGTCTGTGTGTGTGTCTGTGTTTGTCTGTGTGTGTGTCTCTGTGTGTGTCTCTGTGTGTGTGTCTCTGTGTGTGTCTCTGTGTGTGACTCTGTGTGTGTCTCTGTGTGTGT